TCGATCGGGGGGAAGCGATAAGCTCGTCAGACATACCGTGTCGGCCGTCTCCTTGGCTCGTTGCGCAGACGAATCTATAGGGTTAGCAAGGTAGATAATATGGGGTAGAACGTGGAAAGAATGGGAGGCGTACACTCGACACGAGTCGGAAGCATCTTTCAACAGGACATTCTCATGATGGTTTGTGCGCGCGAGGATCTTCTTGACAGCCCGCTCGAGAGCCACGCTATCGAATCTGCCTTGAAGCTGACCGTTTAGTCTGATCCTGTGATTCTTCTTCTCGAAGACCTCGTCGGATAGGGCGGTGTAGGCGGCGATGCACTCGTCGACGGACATGCGCAGGCGCCCTAACATGATGGCGATCAGCCCCCCGGTGCTGGTGCCGCCGATCATGTCAAAATAGTCGCAGGGTCTAGGCGGGTGGTCAGGGTCAATAGTAGCCATGAGGCTGCGCAAGACCATGAGGGAGGAGAGGCCACGGACGCCACCCCCGTCGAGAGCGAGCAGACGGATATCGTTGGCGGGCATTTTACCGTGGAGAGGTCAGAGAAGGGAAGATAGAGCATATAGAAGCGTCCATCTGTGTCTCGACATGGCGACGCAGCCTTGACTTATAGAGAGGTGAGAGAGCGCGCGCGGCGAGTATGATGCGCCTTCTTGGCCGCATAAGCAGCCAACATGTTGCTGCCAAGCTTAACACAGCGAATCCCGCTTTCTCGAGCGATCTCAGCTGAGTGAGAAGTGGATGAAACAAGATGGGCGCGTCTGTCGCTACGCGCCCTCGTCGGCCGCTTTTGCGACCGACGGATCCTGCGCCCTCTCTTCTATCTATAGAAGATCATGTTGAGCCACCAACCGCATAGACAAATGTACTCCTCTGCACGTATGTGATAGCCGACCTGTTGATGCGTGGCTCAAGAGACGTATAAACCTGCGGAGCCGTAGAAAAGGGGCAAGTTACAGGCAGGCAGCTGGAGCCAGGACCATCGTATCTTTGATCGTTGTGTCAAACCAAAGCTTGACGCGCGGCCAGTGCACACAGCGCGACCTCTTCTTATGTATTCGAACCTCTTGTGACTGGAACAAGTATGGGTTAGGTGTAGATTGGAAGCCTTTGGTAAGTGTACCGCAGGTAGGACCTGGTGGTGCAACTGAAAGTGCCTGGGGCCATCCGACTGCATAGGAGTTCTCGTTGTTAATAAGCGCGCTGACATGGATTGTTACAAGCAACTGGGGTTGGTGAGCTGTGTCCGACTTCCTAGGAAGTCGTTGATTGTAGTACCTGCCCGACTTCAGAACACCTCAATGTCGGTCGTGGTTGCAAGCAGCGGGACTCTGGGGTTGTGTATCAGGTACCTAGGTACCTAGATACCAAGATACCTCTGGTGTCTTAGTTTGTATGGGGCTCGTCGCGCCCCATTCGCGGCGGGCCCATTTGGCAACCTTCACTGATGGCGACTGAAGAAGGCACTGGTAGCCAGAGCTCTTTCGCCCATCTCTGCAATCACCCATTAATAGCTGCCATGCCATCCCGCCATGTCTCTCTACTCCGAAGATGAGGACCGCGTTCCTCCAGACACCTTCTCCGATGGCTCTTTCACGGCATCGAGCCTCAGCGGCTCCGACAGCGGCAGCTTTAGCGGCAGCGAAGACGACGAATCCCCTCCTCTCCCCGTGCTCACCAACTACTTCGCGCCGCCCTTCTATGGACGCCCGCCGACGCCCTTGCCGCCGTCGCCGTCCCTGACGTCGCTCCTGCGTCCCTCGCGGCCAACGACGCCCGATCCCTCCGACGACGACATTGAGCCCGTGCCCCGCGCCTCGCCCAAGGTGCCGACCTACGAATACTATGGTTTCGTCCTCTACCTCTTCTCGACACTGAGCTTCCTCGTCTACCTGCTGTGGTCGTACTTGCCGTCGCCCTTCCTGCACGTCCTCGGTATCTACTACTACCCGAACCGCTGGTGGTCGCTCGCCATCCCGGCGTGGATCACGATGCTGCTGGTGTACATTTACGTGGCGCTGGCGGCGTACAATACCGAGGTCATGACGCTGCCGATGGCGTCTGTTGAGACGATTGTGGACGACACGGCACAGGTGGCTGTCATTGACAGCAAGGGCAGGATACGACACGGTGCAAAGAGGAGACAGAAAGACAAGAGGGATCGCAGGATAAACGGAGGGCCAGGACTGCACTGGAAGGAGATTTGGAACGAGGGTACCGACGCCGTTATGGACGTCCCGCTGGCAGGAGTTTGTGAGGTGCTCTATGGGGATATAGATGTGGGTGATGGGAACGGACTGCTATGATAGAGGACTGCTATGATCGAAGGCAGGACGGCGTACTTAGTGCAATTGAGATACCCAGGGCTGGCGACAGGATGCACAGGAACTCACGCTCAGGGAGAAGCCACGTCATGGAAATTGGCCTCTGCATACGAGAGAAGATTGACCAGCCTGCTCAAGGAAAAGCCATTCCGATACCTGACCATGGTTATGGAGGTAGACGTCTTGTCTTCCCTGGGCTGCCCTACTCAGGGGGCGTGGTCGCGTCGATGGTGATCCTCTCGTAGCCTAGACACCTTCACCGTGTTGACGAGATGCAAGTTTGGCTCTGGGACCCACTTTCACCTGCTCGACTTGCTTCAGACCCAACTTGGTCCTTACGCCGCGACCTTCCTTTCTGCCACTCTCGAAGCGTTTGAGGTCTTGACCAAGTCACCAGATCTCCCCGGCAACATTGCCAAGCTCTCGGGACAAGATGGCGCCCTCCCCTCAGCAGATCGCCAGCAACCTCCTCACGCCCCTCAACCTCTCCGTCACCTCCATCCGACCCCTCCAAACCCTCTGGGCTGGCTACGGCACCATATGCTCAGTTCGCGCTCGTGCCAATAACCCCGAAGCAGCTGCTGCAGTCTCCTCACTGCTCTCTGCGCCTGTCACCCCGGACACGGAGATCCCTCTCATTCTCAAACTCATCAGTCCACCCAAGGCAAAGCTTAATGACGAGGGCCATCTGAGAAAGATCTTGAGCTACGAGGTCGAGCAGCATTTCTACACCCACATCGCCCCGAACCTGTCAGATGACGTGGGCGTCGCCAAGTGCATCGCCTCGAGCGCAGCCGATGCGGGCGCCCTGGATGGCATCGTCGCCATGGTGCTGACCGATCTGAGGCCTCAGTACCCTGTTGCCGGGGGCAAGCGGGACGTCCTGTCGAGCGAGCAGGTAGACGCTGCCTTGACGTGGCTTGGGAGGTTTCACGCCGAGTCTAGGGCGTGGGTTGGTGGCGAGAGGGCAGAGTATGTTCTCCCGCCGCTGCAGGAGGCTCAGCGGCGAGAGGAGGGGAATAGGGGGGTCAAGATCTGGCTGAATGGTGGCTACACTTACCTTGCCACGCGCCTGAAGGAGTATGCTTCCTTGGAGGCAGGTGATGGTTCGGAATGGTCGGGCGCATTCTGCGATCACCATGAGGAACTCGGGGCCAGTATCGCTGAGGCCGTTGCCCAAGTGTTGAAGCCCGTGGGACGGGGTTTCGAGAGCGTCATCCATGGCGACGTCAAGTCTGAGAACCTCTTTACTACGGTGGATGGTAACAAGGTGGCCTTCTTTGACTTTCAATATGTCGGCCTTGGACTCGGGGTGTGTGACCTGGCCAAACTATTCACCTGTTCGGTACCTCTCCAGCTCATCACTGGCTCAGATGAGTGGCAGATCCCCATGTATGGCGGGGAGAAAGAACTATTGAGGCGATATAGAAGAGCATTGCTAAACGGAAAAGGTGACGAGTCCTACCCATGGGATGACTTTGTCAGGCATTGGGAATGTGCGCTGGTGGACTGGTGCCGATTCCAGGCGAGCTGGGGGTTCTGGGGCAATACCGAGTGGTTGGAGGCGAGAGTGCGCTCTATTCTGGGCGATCAAACCTGGAGAGCCTGGGTACGAGATGAGCTTCGAAATTCTGAAGACGACCGAGGTCGTGAGAGGTTTGTTTTAGATAAAGGGGCTTGATGCCAAAGCAAAGACCATAGACCGCTGGCCGATAGGATTTCCCCTACGAGACTTACACTGTTGGGGACTTCTACCTGCTTTCCATATAGTATAGTATCGGATGTGGGGTGAACGAGATCATGCACAAAATAAATGGTAAAAGGCATCACGAAAAGACGTGTCCAACACTTCAAACACCTGAGTCTGACCTGTTGTCTTGGTCTCGCAACATAGATGCTCTTCAAGATTGCCCCGATCGTTGACGAAACGAAACTTCGGTCATCACAATGGATAACACCAACCCTGGAACTCGGTTCATCCTGAGAGCGCAAATTATTTATCTTTGTGAATGCAGCACTCGGATTGTCATGACCATCGTGTTGTGGAGAGAAGGGTTTATAGCTACCGCTTGTGCATGAGTCGCTTGATCAGGGCGTACGGTTGATCGCGCGCTCTCTTCGACTGGATGCAGGAGCGTGATCTTCGAAAATCCAACAAAGACTGAAGTTATGGTCCCAAAACGTGTAACCCAAAAGCAACTTTCTCGAAGTATTGGCATGCTGGCCATAATCCATTGACAGATTTCCTACTTGACTTGGAGGAGATATGTAACTAAAACGAAAAGTACTTACAATAGAAACAAACTCCACTTAAGCCAATGATACTTTTACATACATACATAGCTCCATCCTCAACCTTCGTTCGCGAGCTGTGCATGCCATTTCTATGCGCTTTCCATCACCCACCCGACGCGCCACGACCTCAATTCAATTCGCGTCAAACAATCGCATCAGATCCCCTCAACACCCAAGTTGCGACGATGTCTCAGCAACCCTTGTCGTCGGTGGCGCAGCCGACCGACGTCTATGGAGGAGGTGAGCGCGCCGTCCCTCTCAATGCCCCTCCGCGCATGTTCCTAACTTGACCTTAGACGAGGTTTCCGCCCTGGTGCTCGACCCAGGTTACTGCCATACGCGCGCCGGCTTCGCGGGCGAAGACGTTCCCAAGTCCATCTTGCCCTCTTTCCACGGCCGCACGACCAACAAGGAGATCCAGAAGGATTTCTTCGGTGACGAATACCTCATCGCGCGACCCGACTTCGAAGTTCGCAACTACATGAACAAGGACAGCGTGGTCGAGGACTGGGACACCGCCACGAAGATGTGGGAGTACATGTTGACCAACCAACTGCAACCATTCAAGCAGACCCCGCCCTCGAAGAACGGCCTCAACGATGATCCGAAGGAAGGCGAGGGAGAGAACGGCGAGGCCGCCGACGTCGCCATGGAGGACGTCGAGGAGCAGGAGAAGTCGCTGCAGGAGAACCCACTTCTGATGAGCGAGGCACCATGGAACACACCTAAGGCAAGGGAGAAGGCCATCGAGGTCATCATGGAGAACTGGGGTTGCCCCGCCTTCTGGATGAGCCGCACCCCTGTTCTCTCGGCCTTCGCAGCCGGCAAGGCCAGCGCTCTGGTCATCGATGTTGGTGGCGCCAACACTTCCGTCACCGCCATCCACGACGGCATGTGCCTCAAGCGCTCTATCCAGCGATCTCCCGTCGCAGGACTATGGCTCTCGGACCAGGTCCGCCACCTTTTCGGTACGAGTGAACCCAAGATCGAGGTCGTGCCTACCTACATGGTCGAGTCTAAGACGCCCGTCGATGCCGGCGCCCCTCCGCAATTCAAGTCTCGCACCTTCCCCTTCAGCATCGACAAGTCTTTCGTCGACTACGAGAACGGACGCGTCATCACCGAATTCAAGGAGTCCGTTGTCGAGACCTGGAGGGGCCCTGGCAAATTCCTGGCGCCTCAGAACGAGGAGTATGTTCGCACGCAACCCGGACGGATCTACGAGTTCCCCAACGCGGCAACCAGATGTGGCGCGAGCGGCGGTACCGCGTCTCCGAGGGCATGTGGGACGAAGCAGCGGCCTTCCCGACAGAGGATCTGCCTACAGTCAACAAGTCGCAGACCATTCCCGAACTCATCCGCAGTGCTCTCAACGCCGTGGATGTTGACCTGCGCCCCAACCTGCTCGGCAACATTGTCGTGACCGGCAGCACTAGTCTTCTGAACGGATTCAACGACCGCCTGAACAACGAGCTCATGGCCATGTTCCCCGGCTCCAAGATCAAGATTCACGCCGCTGGACTGACCACGGAGCGTCGCTTTGGCGCCTGGATCGGAGGCAGCATCCTGGCGAGCCTGGGCACCTTCCACCAGATGTGGATCTCGAGGAAGGAGTACGAGGAGAACGGTGTCAACATCGTGGAGAAACGCTGCAAGTAGACGATTACGCACGGCGAGTCGGTGGTGCTCCGCCTGACAGAGAGGATTGGGTAGCGGGCCCGAGAGGGGCTCACGGCGTAGTCGGGTGCGGCAGGCGTATGGAGTTGGGATGAGCATCGTGCTCACGGAACACAAAACGGCCTCGAATAGGAACGGATGTGTTTTTGTTTTTTTGCGATGTACAGATACATGGCACTAGAGTAAAGTGATTCATAAAATTGGCGTTGCAGTGCTGAGGTGACTGTTCGTGCAATCGCGTCAGCGGTATCCTGCAGCAGTCTGTGCTTGTGGTTTGATTTGTCGACTGAAGTTGCTGCATCAATGGTTTTCGTACGTTTTTTTGATTTATACATTCAAATTCGCTGGATGGGAATCGTACGGCGTGTACTCCCGAGCCAAGGCTTCAGCTACACCTTGGAACAGTAAAGCATGTTCTGACATATCCGAGTTGGGCAACTGCCTCAACCTTCCTTCTGTACACCACGCGACGAAGGTACTGTGCTCTTGGAGACTTACTACCCTAGAAATCGGGCCGTCTATCAAGTACACCTTTCCTTCGTCACGAGGCCACCTACTTGCACCTTACCAAGGCCAACCTCGTCCATTACGGACGTGTCTCTACAATTCTGTGCAATTCTACACTTGAGACAGAAAACCTAAGCAGGAAGGCGGGTGTGACATATTATGGGGCAATATCTGAATCATCCCAGACCATCTTTACTTCAACAACTACAAAGGTAGAGAAACGTCGAGACGCGGCCAGGAACAATCCTGCCCCACCCCCAGATTATCGCCCTGGCGCGTACCCACCCCTCAGCAAGCCACTAACGCCTCCTGCCTGAGGCACGCATGCAGCGACCGCGCTCCAGTCATACGAAATTCGGAGCCTCAACGTGAACTCTCCAACCTACCTACCCTGGCTTTCGTCGCCCATCGGTTGAAACGCTGTCCAGACGCATCGCCCAACGCGCCATCGTTTTCGCGTGCTGCAGAGACGCCTTGATCAACCGGAAAGGCATGGTCTCTTGCACTTCGACATTCGCGGGCCACCTCGGAGGTGCTTGAGGCAACGACGCGATGTCTGCAAGCGAGGACGTTACGCCCGTCAACGGCGACGAGATGGACATCATCGTGCCCGATGCAGCCCCTGTCGATGCTGGTGACTCCAAGAAGGAGCCCGAATCCGACGTGGACTGGAAAGCTCAGCGAGCTGCTGATGACGAGAACATCCAGAACCTGCTTGCCAAGGCTGAGGAGGGGCAGGGTATCGGCATCAACTTCAACGACGACACTCCCTTCGACCAGACCGACAAGGCTGATAATGCCGAAGATTACGAAGATATCAGTGACGATGACCTTCCGGAGGAGGAGGAAGCGACAGGCGCAACGTCGCTATCCGTGCCCGGTCTGACAGATGATGGAGGAACGAGCAATGACACTGATGATCTTTTTGGCGATGGCCCTTCATCACCCATCGAGCCTGCGGCCGACGCCACATCACCGCGACCGCATATCCATGACCCCGAGGACCCCGAGTCATATCGTGACCTCAACTTCAACACCGACCCTTCCTCGCTTGCGACGAACCAGGACCCCGATATCCCACTCCTCCCGCGATTCTGGCGAGCTTGTGAAACAAACATACTGCGTTCGAGACGGATCACGTACGTGACGAGCTACTCCCCCAGAGCTACGAAAAGCCGACCAAGAAACCCAAGACTCTGATTACCAGCAAGCTTACGCTTGAACTCGCGACAGACCAAGAGAAGGCCTTCCGGGTGCCAGGGCCTGCCGCCACTACACGAAAACAGAGGCTGATCGCAGCTGAGCTATCAAATCTGGTGGACTGTTCAGTGCCGGATCCTGAAGACGAGGATGGCAAGGAGGACGTGGAAATCGATTTCGAGTCCGATTCAGAGACTGTCGGCGGCTTCACCCTCCAGGACATCGACATGGTTTGCGATGACTGGGCGGTGCACATCGACCATACTGAAAAGGAGTTTGAGACCAAGGTCGCTGCGCAGACTGAAGCCGAGAACGTCACAGGTCACAAGAGGGCTGCAGTCGACGATGATCAGTCGGACGACGATTGGGATGCACTATTCTTGAAGGATGACAACGCTGTACAGCCTCGCAAGAAAGTCCGGATTCCCCTTCCGGCTGGCTTGCCCGACATCTCCCGTTTCACGGCGCCATCGTTTGACTTGTTCCAAGAGATGACGAAGCGTGGCGCGAAACGAGTCGTCCTCGACATGAACGATCCTTATCTGCTGCTTGAAGAAACGGAGTCCCAGCGAGGTCCCAAGCGCCAGCGCACCGAGAAGACGCTCATTCGTATGGCGAGTGGGCACTCGAAGCCTGACATCTTCCAGCGCTTCAACTTGTCAAATGACGAAGCATACGAAGCCCTCAAGGAGAACCACAAGCACAAGGTCAGAGCGACGCTGGGCAACCTCGGTGTCGAGCACAGTATGCCTGCCCTGAGACTAGCCTGGCCGTACTACAAGGTCAAGCTGGACATTCGCGGCCACGGCTATCACCGACCTAACTTCCGTTTCAATAAACATGAGAGGCAGACAATCAAGTTCGACAAGCTTACATACCACAAACGGAAAACTAAGAAGGGTAAGGCCCACGAGGTTTTCCAATCCACCAAGGACTTGGGTATCACCGACAACTGCACGGCTGTCCTGTTCGAATACTGTGAGAGAACCCCGCCCGTCCTCTCTAACTTTGGCATGGGCAACCGTGTGATCAACTACTACCGCAAACGACAAGTGGACGAAGAAGAAGTGCCCCCAAAGATGGATGTTGGCGAATCTCACGTACTGCACCCGGAGGATAGGTCGCCGTTTGCCATCTTTGGTGAGGTCAAGGCTGGCCAGACCATGCCCACGTTGCACAATCAAATGTACCGGGCGCCCATCTTTAAACACCAGCCACGGTCCACCGATTTTCTCTGTGTTCGCAGCTCGACTGGCGTGGAAGGCTCAAAGTGGTATATTCACAACATTGACCATCTCTACGTCGTCGGTCAAACATTCCCATCGGTAGAAGTCCCCGGCCCCCACAGCAGGAAGGTCACGAACGCTTCAAAGAACAGGATCAAGATGATGTCGTACCGCATGATGAGACGCAGCCCCCACAGTGTGGTCAACCTAGCGGATATCACAAAACACATTGCTGAATCGACGGACGCTCAGAACCGACAAAAGTTGAAGGAATTCCTCGTTTATGCCAAGATGGACAAAGGACAGTGGAAGCTGAAGCCTGGCGAGACGCTCATGGACGAGGCCGGTATTCGTGCAATGGTCAAGCCCGAGGACGTGTGTCTTATTGATGGCATGCAGCTGGGCATGCAGATTCTGGAAGACGCCGGATTCGACCCCAACAACGTCAATCTCGACGAAGACAATGATGACGTTGAAGAGGAGGATGATGATCGTACTGCCAAGGGTGGAAAGAAGGCTGCCGACAAGAATGAAGACAAGTTGGCCGATAAGATGGCCCCTTGGAAGACAAGCAAGGCTTTCATAGATGCTTGTGCCGGCAAGGCGATGCTTAAGCTGCACGGAGAGGGTGACCCTACCGGCCATGGCCTTGGTTTCAGCTTCATACGAACGTCGATGAAGGGCGGCTACATTGAGACGGTTCAGAAAGGTGGATCGCACACGACGGCGGCTGACGCCATGGCAGCACACCCGGATGCCATGCGTAAAGCTTACAACGGACATGCCTACAATGTCAAGGAGCAGGAGGTCATGTACAAGAAGGGCATCCATGAAATTTGGGAGAAGCAGAAGGCCAGCCTCGGCGATGGTTCCGAGAAGGACGATAGCCTTGTTGTCCCCCCTCCGGCCGATGAGGACGATCGCTTCAACACGCACGTGTCGCAAACGCCTGCGCATGTGGACGAGGGCGCCAGTCAAATTACCGGATTGACGTCCAACAGCCGCACCCACCACAAGCGCCTCAAGATCACCCGGGACGTCAAGGGTGAAGACGGCACCATCGAGCAGCGTGTTGTGATTCTTGACGACCCTGTCATCATTGATCGGTACATCAAGCGCAGGAGAGAGAAGGAACTCGATGAGTTGAAGTATGCAGCTACCAGACGACTCCCCGCTACCCCCTTTCCCATGGACCCATTCTCGGGTCTCGAGTTTCCTCTCTGGGCCATGCCAGCTGACATTGCCGCTTTTTTAGCATCTACGAAGGACACCCAACCGGACACCATGTGGAAGACCGCCGCACGTTGGCTGAGTACGCATTATCCTTCTGTAGATGCTGATCAATTGGTTAACCACCTCGTAGAATCAACAAGGAGCTGGAGAGGCTCAACCGTAACAAGGCCCGAAGAAAGGCTAGAGAGTCACAGAAGGGCATTCACCATCCCAAATCGGGCAACGGCGGCGACGGTGGATCCCCCGAGCCCGACAAGGTCGCGACAGGAACGAGCCGAAAGTGCAACAACTGTGGCCAGGTCGGCCACATCAAGACCAACAAGAAGTACGAACCCCTCTTCTTTTACCCACCATGTCCCCTCCCCTCCCCCTACCCCTCGCCCCCTTACCCCATGGCCAAGGGCCGACCCCGTTGTCGAGTTTCGTTCCGTGAAAAACAGGTCGCGCAAGCCCTCTGCGCGTGAACAGCTCCCTCCTCCCTGGAACACGAAGCCCTTCAAGTTTCCATGCAAGGTCCTGCGGCGCTCCCTCGACAAGATGAAAAGACAAACCGTAGCCACTCGAGCGGCGGCCAACGCGAAACGTCTGGAAGAAGCGAAACAGGCGGTTGCCGCGGCCACTGCGAGGCTCAAGCTCGCATCGCAGAGGCCGGCAAAACCTGCCCCGCCTACCCCGGGCTTGGCTCGGACGAATTCAATGCCACCGTCAAAAGTGGGCGGGTTCAAGAACACCATGACTCTCGACCGGCAGCCCAAACGCCAACGACCATCGGAGCCCCCGGTGGAGGCTGCGTCGAACAAGAGGCACAGACACAGAAACAAGCATTAAGCATACAGCAAGGACCAACAGATGAGGGCCTGTCAACCTGCTTGGGTGATCAGATTCACTTTATCTGACGCGGCCTCGTCTCAGCCCCAGCGGGCTTCGGAGACTGACATGTTGTTTTACATTCACCATTTCAGATGACATGGCCGTGCTATCTAAAGAAAGGACGAATGCTAACAGTCATACTTTTCAAGGTTGTGCCCCATGCTTAATGGCACCGATGAAGCCCGAGAACAGCATGGCAGAGCACGGTGGCTTCGGAGCTTTCACTGGACCGGCGACGAACGCCGGCTCGCCCTGAGCGGCGAATGAACGATGACATTTGGCTGGTACACATATTGTAAAGATACGAAGGAAATGGACTGGTTGCTGAGCATACTGGAATCGGGTTCAGCGGGATTAGGACCAGCAGCAGCATTGCGAGAACGGGGAGCGGGCAATTCGGTCCTCAGCTGAAGAAAGAAAGGCCCTTGATCAGAGCCTGGCTGGGGCGACACCGAGTGAGCGAGCGTGCAACGGCGTTTCGGGGCCAAACAAAAGGGGGAGGGGGGGAGGCGAAGGGGAGCAGGCAACTGGATGGTTGTTCTTGATACGGCCTCAACGCTTTTTACCCCACCTTGGCTGGATGGGGAGTTTGTTTATGTTTAGCATACCGCGCCTTGCGCCGATTGGCATCATGGGCTTGTTCATAATTTGCAGCAGCAGAGAGGAAGAGAAGAAAAGAAGGCATATATCTACACGCCTCGCCCCACCTTGCGACTGAGCGCTGACGTCTGATGAAGTTGCAACGATAGGATTAGAAGTAAACAAGCAGGCAGAGTGGTGCGGGACCATGTTTGGAGGTCAGACGTCGCGGGAGGAGACGGGGCAGTGGGGATTGAAGGGACTCACTGGAATGAAAGAGGAACAGCGAACATGGGGCGGGGGGCAGGTCAGGGTCCTCTAGCTACCTTATCTTAGACACAAGGGGCGACCCAAGGCAGGGTTGTCGATGGGAAGCGAGTGGAGTGGGAGTTTCGCGCGAACTGGTCTGGGCGGCTGTCAGTGACCCTATCAAGTCTTAATCAGACGCCTGTCAGCAGCGATTCGATGTGTTCTTGTCAAAATGACGAGTGTCGACGGGGCTGGTTTGGTTCCTGGTGGCAGGGGAGGGTATCCTAGGCCTATTGGTTCTGGATCAAAGTTGAGATGCCGCGCTTCTTCTCGAACGATCATGAGCAGCGATGAGATGAAGGTCCTGCTGCGCGCCACGCGGTGCGTCTTCAGCCTGAGGCACCGTGATCTTATCCAGCAGTCGAGGTTACCGTTGCAGTTGCAGTTGCAGTGGTGGTGTTGGTGTCAGTCAGGCAGGTCGCTTGGCTTCGCTTGGATCTTTTACCCACGCGAGAGGGGCCCGAGGCAAAAGGCTAATTGGTGCGATGCGGGAAACGTCGCGTGGGCGGGGAGTGCAGCTTGCTTGCTTCTTGGTGTGGATGCGACGGGATGTATTTTTAGAACTATTTTTGGCTCACAAGTGCCGGGGGGGGATAGGGAAGGGAAGGGAACGGACGGACCTGACAGAGACCTAGCGGGCGGCCGGGCGGGCCCAGCGGACGACGCAGCGCATCTGTGAATCTCTCTGGTTCAACCGGGGGGGTTCTCTGCACCAATGACGAGCTCGTTCGCAACGGAGGAACGACATGGTTCTGACCGGTCGACAGGCGCGGGAGCGAGGGGAGGCTCTACTGGCAGGGCAAGCTGGTGGTGGTGGTGCGGATGATCTGGTTCATCATCAAGCTGCAGGCACGGTGTCTGATGGTCGATGTTGGTCGTGCTTGTCCCGAGCACTGCCCCACGGCAGACGCTTTTAGCGTCGTTGCCGCGGCGCTTAAAACGCTGTCTTGTTGCGTCTTCGGTGTGAAAGTATGGGACGTCGTCGCCTGTTGGTGTGTGGGGGAGACGACATGAGACTGAAGTGAAGATTGTAGTTTCTGGGGGTTTGGGCAAATCGGTCCTTTCCGCCAGGACACACACCTCGTAGCAAGGGTTGTGGGCTGGTAGATGCAAGCTGCGTCTTCTGTTTGGGTGGGCAGTTGAAGCCTTCCCGCCAGTGTGTCACATGCAGGCTGACAAGAATGGCATCAAGTTCTGTCGTCAACATTGTATCACTGATCACTGGGTGTTCGCGCTGTTGCCTGGTTCCATCGTCAGTGAACCCATGCTGGAACCTCGTCATCCATTTTCTTCCTGCCTTCTTTCTCTCTGTCCCCCCCCCCCCCCTGGACAGTTCTTGGTGTGCTTCGTATCAATCCTCGTTGCCGCCCGATGGCAGGCTGACCGTCATGTCTGCGTCTCTACCCGGACCAGTCACACGTCGTAGTCATGACACCCTCAGTATCGTCAGCCTTACGATCTGGAAGATTGCCGGGAAAGGATGAGAACGACCCGTGGGACACAGCCGAGCAGTCAAGCCGTGTGTGCCTGCATGCTGAGCCTGTGCCGGCTCCGGTTCCGATGTAGACACCCAATGAGAGAGACATGGAAGCAGAGATGGAAGGCTGATGCGAGAGAGTGAGCCCAATGAGAGGTGACACCAACGATGACGGATCGACGGACAATTGGATTGTGTTCAGACGAGACCGATGAAGAGGATGGCTACTGCGGTCGTCCAAGGCTGTCGCTGCGGTCGTCCCCGACGTGCCTGATGTTGTGCAGGTACAGGACAGGGCAGCGCAGGGCAGACCAGGCATGGGTGAGGGAGTGAGCACGGTGGCACATCTCAACCTGTACCCCGGCGATGGCGATGGCGATGGGGGTGTCGTGATAGTGCTGTTGTCTGGTGTCTGGAGTTTGAGGAGGTCATCGTTGGCTGCTCACACTCTGGGAGCCTGCCTGCTTGCTTGCCTGTGCGTTCGACATGGCGAATAGACTGTCCTTGTCACTGTTGGAGCGCTGTTGCTGGCGATTGTAAATAGCACATGGCAGGTCGAGCTTTGGCCTGTTTGCTATTTGCGCACGTCGTGGAGATGGAGGTCAGTGTGTAGGTATCTGATGGTAACCTGAAGCCCGCGATCAGCACGTCAAGCGGCCGGCGACGACGGGAGGGCATGCGCGCTTGACGTGCGTGACAGGAGGCAGGGAGCTCTGCACCCAGGAACCCCGGGGTGCTAGGGGCCCCAAGCCCAGGGCACCACCGCTGGCACCACCGCTGGCACCACCGCTGGCACCCGCCCAGGGACCCCGACAGTCTGGGTGGTCGCGCTGTAGGTGTCTCACCACGAGAAGCTCAGAGACAAGAGACTTCTGGCACCTTTCCGAGGCGGGGTTAGCCTGCGGGACACCGAGACCAAGCTACAGTGCTGGCGTGTCGACGGTGACGGCGGGCACGGTATGCCTGTCTTACGAAGAGGCGTCATGTCACAGTGCGCACGAGGCGAACAGCCAGCAGCTGCTCACAGTTGGCGATCCCCACCCCGGCCACGCCCGTTTCATTCGCGCAGCACCTTGCACCTTGCACCTGGGCCGCACCCTTCTTCGCCCATTCCACCCCCGCTGTCCCGCTGCCCACTGCCCACTGTCCGCCGCACCCGCCCTTCTTCTTCCCTTCCATCTTTCTCTCTGCCTGATGCTTCCAACAACCATCACGTCTATTATTAGCATCACCTTCAGCCCCATCGACTGCTGCAAGACAGAACACCAAGTCCACCGAGAGCTTGTCCCATGTCCGCTGTCGAGATCGACGTATGTTTGATGCCCTTGCCGCCTTGCTTTCCGCTTTGCTTAAGATACCCTGCCTGGCCGGACCTTCTGCTGACGATTGCTTCCCGTTGTCGCGACAGCCCTCGATCACGGATCCTCGCCCGTCGACCTGACCTCGGCCAGCCAGTTGCGCTTTCGCGACCGATCCTTCGTTTTTCACCCTGCTCAGACGCCAGCTCGACCTCGTTTGCCCGTCACTAGCGCGTCGAAGCTTTCAACGACCTCGCCGCCGCCGCTGTCGATCCCGGCGCAAAACTCAGCAGCCCCAGTCGTCCCCGCGAGCCTCGAAGAAATCTTGCGACGCTTTTCAATTGATCCTGTACCAGCCGCGCCGCGCACCACCTGCTA